AGAATAGTGTGGTGGTGGCCAGGGGCAGGAGCCTTGGGGACTTTAATAGATACAAAATCCTGACGCCTAAGGGCCACATGGGGACTGCAGCTAACAATGCCATGTTGTAGTGCACTGTGTTTGGAATTTTCGCTGAGTGAGCTGATTTTTTTTTGCTGCTTTCATTTCTCTTACACACACACACACACACACACACACACACACATACACACGATAACCATGTGATATGATGGATATCTTAACTGGCTTCACTATAGTAATCATTTCACAGTCTATATCAATCTCCCAACAGTGTGCTATGCATAAACATGGAAGGTAAAATCCATAAAGGACGAAGGGAAAGTTCCAGTGATGCCAGAGGAGTAAGCTGTGATATCAGCCTTGAGCCTAGAGGTGACGATACTGTAGTCACAGATCAAATATCTGTGAGGCTGGGGGCCTCGTCTGAACTGTTCTTACCGCCACAAAACAGAAGCGAAAGGAGAAGAAAGACAGGAAGAAGGCAGGGGCGGAGGGGGCGGGGAGGAGAGGAGGAAGAGGCAGCAGGAATTGAATCAGATTGTGGTTCAGCCAGGCTGAATCTCCCAAGAACTTCCATGCCAGGGACAAACCTCCCCAGAGTCCCCACTGAGCATGCTCATTCACTCCCATGGATCTGACTCCCTCTGTCTGATTTTCTCATTGCCTCCTCTGCTCCAGCCCCAAGGCCCACCTGCTGCTTCTAGACCATACCAGGCCTTCTGCCACAGCTGCTGCCTGTTGCCCAACACAGTGTCATCCCTTGCCCCCTCAGAAACTCCTCCTGAGTCTGGCTGCAGCAAAGGGGTCCCTGCACCCCTCATTTCCTCTCCATCTCCCCAAGCTCAATGTATTATAAATGCTCCATAAAGCACTAGTGGTTCTGTAGGAAAAACCAGGCTGTCCATGCTCAGTACCCGTGGGACTAAAGAGTCCAACATGTTCAGTCCATGGCTGGTTTGATCCTAGAATGCAGCAACGCAGATATGTGGGGTTGCCCATGGCTCCCCTTGCCCAACAGCCCAGTGCAGACATTTTATAGTTAAGTCCATTTTATAGTTAAGTAGCCTGAGTCCATTTTATAGCTAAGAGATTTGGGTCACATCATTAAGAAAGGCAGAACCAGGATTCAAGTCCTCTTGGCCATAGATTTTAGGATGGGAAATCTTGCTTTCTGATACCGGTTGTCCTCGGCCTTTAATCTGACATGGTTTCATTGCCATAAAATATGGGGAGACATAGTCGGGGTGACTGATGCCCTGGGGTGGTCCAGAGACCAAGTGCTGCAGAGGTGGGGGACGCAGCACTGGGCAGGGCTGGCTTGGGTGAGCACTGATTGCAGGGAAGCTACCCAGGTGGTGGGTGAGGCTGCAGTAGACACAGGATCTCAGGGAGGAGGGCGAGGCTTGTGTGAGGCCATCCCCTGACAGCTCCAGGGCAGAGCCCCCTCAAGAAGCCCCCTTGGCAGGCAGCTTGGGGATGCAGATGTTACTGGAAGGGAAGCTACCGCCAATTCCTCTCACTTCCTTCCGAGACAGCCTGCTCCAGTGGCAGAGGAGACCAGTCATAAGGGTGAGGGAGGCCTGCTTAGACCACAGCACCTCCCACACTTCTGGACTCCGCCTTTCTAACCTGAGTGATGGAAGCACGAGCAGGTGGAGTTGGTGGGGGTGGGCTGGCCACAGCAGGAGCCCTTTGAAGAGTCAGGGAGTGAACAATCTATTTCCTTTCAATCTCCCAGGCATACAGGTACCAAGTTTTGCTTTACCCTCATTCTCTGCACCCTTTAGGCGGGCATTGGGTGATACTGAGTGAAGTGGAACCCCACTCTGGTGTGCCCGCCTGTGCACACGCTCACAGATGTGCATGTGTGTTTTCTCTATGCTAGATTTCCCTCCACCCTCTCCTCTGTTTCTCCCCATGGGCAGGAAAAGAAAGGACCCCTGAGCTGGAGCACAAATCCTGCCCAAGCAGAGGGAAATCCTGGTATCGTGGTTTGCAGACAAGGGAACACAATCTCCGTATGGGGTGTAATTACATCTTAGCTTTCTGCTGAAGAATAGTTTATAGCTTAAATGCTATTAATTGTAAGCCGTTTTGTTCCATGGGAAGTTGTTCATTGATAACTACCCAATTAGGGTTATTTTGCAATTAGTCTATTCACTGTGAATTTATTGCAAAAGGGGGAGGCCGTGGTGCATCAAATTAAAGTGTTTCTGGGGCTGGGTGTGCAATGGCTCTTAAATGTCAATCTTATTAACCAGTGCAGAGGTCCTGGGAGGGTGTGCCACCATGGCCTACACAGCACAGGCCTCAGGGCAACCTACAGCAAAAGCAAGCTGTAAAACCTCATCAGAGATGACTCAGCATGGCTGAGACAAGCGTGGAAACACTTGGCCAAAGATGAAAAGGCTTTATTTTTCTGAGTAGCTGTGGATGGGGCAGGCTGTACAGCAACACTCAGGCAGCTCTGACTGCTGTGCAGGCGGAGTCTATATCATGCATGCAGCTTTCCCAGACCCCGTGAGACAGGTGTGATCATGACCACCTTCTTTCTATGGAGAAACTGAGGCACGGAGTGGTCGAGCCCCTTGCTCACACTCCCACAGCCTCTGCTGGTGGTGGGAGGGTGAGGGGGCACATCTGCAGTTGGAATCCAGCTGATCAGGCTCCACAGCCAAGCCCCAAGTCACTGTTGTCACACCTCTTCTTTGCACGTTCTAAGGATGGAGAGAAACAGCCGAAGGCATCAGGACCTCTCTGGGGCTCCACAGTTAGGAGCCAGAGTGAAGCCTTTTGCTTCAGGCTTAAGGGAAGGGATGTGGGCTCTGGAACCCAAGTTCCAGCAGTATGGCTTTGTGTTATATGACTTTGCCTAACTGTAGGCTAACGTCAAGTGTTCTGAGCACACTGGAAGTCAAGTAGGATAAGCCATGAGGCTGGGCAGGATAGATGTGCTCAACGCATCAGGATATTTTAAGTGCACAATGGATGATCCAGAGCAAAACTGTGAAGCAATGTGGAAAGCTCCTGAGTATTCAATGCCAGCTGCTACCTGGGCAGAGCAGGAAGCCAGCACTGGAGCCACGGAGGCAGCAGCTAAACTTGAACTACAGGCCCTGCCTCCTCATCTCCAGTGCATCCCACTGTGTTCCTAGTGGCACCAGAGCCCTTCCTTGCAGAGCAGTGTCTTTTGGATGCCATCTGCCTTCTCCCTAGAGAAAACCATGGGAAAACTATTGCAGACTGTTTGACCAGTCAGGCCTCCTCCAAGGAAAAGCACTGTTTGAAATGGTCCCAGACACGAGGTTGTGGTGAGCTAGTGTGTATGCTAGGGGGATGGGGATGTGCATATAACAATAGCGAAGACAGGCTGATGATCAGCAGGTTGGTGAGAACACAGGGGTCCTCTCCACTCTGGGTTAGGAAACTTCAACATGCATGTGTGTGTTAAGGAGGGAAAGGAGACCTTAACACATACGATGAGGTTCCAATGTTCTACAGTAGGGAGGCAGGAGAGGGGAACCACCACGTGCAGGCCTTATAAGGTCCATGAAATCATGTGGTCTTTGGCCTTGCCAAGGTGACTGTTAGCAGAACTCAAAATTCAATACATCTAGAGCAAGCTAAGTTTTTAAGCTGGAAATGCTAGATGGCCGTGAGCAAATCTATAAATCTCCAAGTGGCCCTTGGCAGAAACAAGGTTCCCCGCCCTTGTCGGGTGACTCTGTTCACAACTGGCTGTGTGTCTTAACAAGAGAGGAACCTCAGGTCTCAGAACAAAAAACTGACACGTTTCAGAAGAAGGAACAGGCCCATCACAGTGGTTCCATCAGCACACATCATCACATACCCCACAAATGTGGGCAATTATGACACATTGCCAAAACATGGCAATGAAGAAGAAAGTAACAATCAGGGTTATCTCAGCCCATCAGACATGTAAGCGTGTAAGCATGTAAGGTCATCCACACACTGTGTGACCTTGGGGAAACAAATTCACATCCCTCATCTGACAAAATGAGACTCCCGACATCAGTGCCAGCCTCAGAGGGTGGTGGATGAGCTGAGCTAATTGGATGTGCAGTGTCTGGTGCAGTGCCCAGCACACGGCAATGCTCCATCAACACTCCCCTCCCACGGACAGCGGGGAAGGTGAAGGTCACTGCTGAGAAATCCGGGCCAATACCATGGCCTCCCATGCAGAGATGCACAAGCAACACCCCATCTTCCAAGGGCCCCCCCTGCTCTGCCTGTGAATGACTGTCGTAGCTCAGATCTCAGTTCAGCAAGAGATCCGATTAAACAGGAGGTCACTGGCACACAGAGGGGGACCCGGAGCAGGGCAGAGGGAGGAAGAAGGCACATAAAGGGAGGGAGCAGAGAACAGGGAGGGAGGAGAGAAAGAGGGAGGGAGGCAGAATCTGGAAGGGGGAGAAGAGATGGGGAAAGGAGAAGAGAAGGAAGGAAAGGGGGCAAGAGAGATGGACAGAAGGGGGAAAGTGGGGGAGGGATGGAGGAAAGGAGGGAGGGAAAGAGAGATGGAAGGAAGGAGTGGGCAAAGAGGAAAGAAGGGAGAATTTGACACTCGGAAAAACGAGAAAGTTGCTTTCACAGAGCCTCCAAAGTCCCTGTGCCCAATAAGAGGCCTTTCAGACCACAAGTAATTAAGATAATACTCATGTCCACTCTAATTCTGCTATTCTGCCCAGAGAGAACCCAAGCCCATCAACCACAGCCAACACACCCTACACAACTTTCACACTAATGCCAATCTCACTGGCAGGCTAGTCTAGTGCCGGAATGGTATGTCTTATTGCGCTAACAGCCGACCACCAAAGGCCGTAAAACTCTGCTTATGTAAGACCCAGGAATTCAGGAATTACCTGGTGTTTTGGTCCTCATCTAAGGTTTGCAAAACAGGGCATCTGTTCCTAGAAAGTAGGAACAGGTGAGAGGAACAGGGCTGGGCAGGCACTTACCCTCCAGGGGACAGAACCGCGTCACCCTCTCAGGCATCAGCAGCCCCAGCTTGTGGCGGCAGTAGGTCTCACCGATCTCCTGGCGGCAGTGCTTGGACTTGGCACGGGACAGGGCAGAGATGGCTTCCTTGCCTGAGATCTCACATCTGGGAGGCTGGTCATTCTTGGCTTCAGGGGAGCTGCCCCCACTCTTCCTAGTGTGGGTCTGTCTCGGAGCAGCCTTCCCGTGACTGCTGTTGGCCACAGCCCTGTCACTGGGGGGCAGCCTCTCGCTGGGACCTTTGCCCAGGAGTGAGTGGCCCTTCCCTTTGTCCAGCTGCTCCGAGGATTTTCTTTTCAGATGCTCCTTCGTTCGGCCCTGGGGCTTCTTGGCCAGCTCGGGCTGGTTCTGCTGCTTCTGGGTCCTTGGGGCGAAGTTGCTGTTGTCTACGTTCTCAAAATCCTTGGGCACCGAGTTCTCATTGTTGCTGTCGGTTCGCACTTTTTCTTTTGGCCGGTGAGAGAGGTAGCCATCCTAAGGAGGGGCACAGGAGAGAAGAAGAGGTACTTGATTGAGTGAACGTGTTAAGTAGTTTGGCCCTGGAAGAGCGACTGTTCAGAGTAGGGGAAGAACCCAAGTTGTCCATCATTCCTGTGCTACTGTCTCTACCATTTTGTTCTCTTTTCTAGTTCAGTTTTTGCATGTAAGGCTGCGATGGTTTAAGGGCTGAGAATGATGTAATAAAGTTATAAAGGGAGGATATATTGGTAGGATGTTACATGCATTTCATTGCCTTAGGGCAGGCTCATATATCTATGCCCTGAAGAGTCGACAGCTTGGGCCATTGATAATTCTGTGGGAAAGGCATCACTGGGCTTGTGGAGGGTAGAGTGGGCTCTCCATACTCTGCTCCTGCAGGCGTAGCCAGATCCTGGTCATTTTGAGTTCAAGTCAAATGCACCATTCAGCTAATGTGTCCAATCATTTTTGAAACACACATTTTCTGTTTAGGGCCCATCCCCAAAGCCTCACCCTTAAAGAGTATCCATGGTGTGCCAACTGGCCCCTTAGACGCAGTGGCCATGATCATAGCATGCAGAAAGGGACTACCAGGCACCACTTCTTGGATATTGATGATCCTCCTATGTGAAGGTCTTTCTGGCATTTACCATGGGAAGAGCCACCGCTTGTGGTTACAACCTCCAAGAACATGCGTCAAGTGCCAGGTTCCATGCTGCATGCTTACATGCAAAGCCTGCAGAGAGAAACTCCAAAGCAGGTGCTGGTATCCTCGCTCATCTTTGAGCACAGGTGGGAAAGAGCCTTGGAGATGTTGACGTCTTTGTCCCAAGTTGTCATCTGGCGGAAGGCAATGAACTGGAGACTTGTGTTGGTCTTGCATACTGATCTGCCTGCTTTGCTGGGAGGTGAACCTGTCTCTACATGCAGGAGTAACATCCTCTTTACTTCTATTCAGCTACATGGGCATGGAGCTGCAGGGAGCAAGGGTGGGATTCGATAAGTTCAATTCCTTCCCTTCTGGGCACATGACAGGACAGGCCCGACAGGGCAGGGCTTCCCCATGATGTACACGTCTGGCACAGCCATGCAGTGTGCTATGGCACATCAAGGGAATGGACCCAGGGCACAAGGGGCCTCGTGCCCATCTGGTGCCTGCTATGGCACTGTCAACCATAGAACTTCAGAAATGGTGTGGGAAAGTGGAATTTAAAGAAAGGCTTACTTTTGTTGCAAATGTTTAAAAATTCATGCGTATTTTTTTCATAATATACATTTGCCAAGATTCTTTGTGTGCATGGATTACAATTTTTTGCATAAACATTTCTTTTAATTAAATTTCCTTTTTAATTTCAATTTCAATTAGTCCTAACAGATTCAATGTGGTTTGCAGACACCATTCTAAGAACATAAGGTTTTTCCTTTTCCATTCCCTCCTCTTGCCCAGCTTCCTTCTGCTTTTCTCAGTGTCTTTTTAATTTTTTTTAAAGATAACCTAACATCACATTACAGTAAACAGGCTTAATATCACCAAATAAGTTTAACAAACCAAAAGCAATAAAAACCTTTGTTTTGGGAACACAGACATTAATTCTATTGTCTGTGAACAGTTTAAAGTACCCCCATATCACCATGTGGGTATGGTGGTGAGGAGGAATATGTCTGAAACTTTTAGAACCTTCCAGCCACCCAAAGCAGAAGGAATAATGAACGACAAAGCCAGATGCCGGGTCTGCTGCTCATCCCCCGAGGACAGGTGGGTCATTTTCTCTGCACTGTGATGGACGAGCCACATCCTCTTCATTCTCAACCAAGCTGACACTCTCACCTTGGGTTATTTATGCAAATGTAACCCTTTGACTTATTTTATTTTAATGTCCTTATTACAATGATTGCACATTCAAATGTTTGCATGGGAGCTCTGAAACTCTAATTGCTCTGCTGTTGCCTTACCTCGGAGCTGTTGCGAGAATCCATTTTTTTTTTATTCCAAAGAAATAATTAAATACAATAATGTCCTCCATTCTCATTCAACCTTGGGCATGTTCAGAGCCAATCTCAATCACGTAGAAATATGCAAAACTGCTGTCTGGTGCATGCAGCAGGTAACATGACCAGGTCCTGTCTGCCTCTTTCTGGCTCCCCCAAGACCCCTGGTCCTGCTTTGCAGAGGGCGTGTGGGCCACCGTGTTTTGGAAGGTACCCACTAGAACTGAACCCCAGTCTTACTGCTTAAGTAGAGCAACACCAGGCAGAAAGTGGAAGGCCTGTACTCTTGTCCTCTTCTAGGGATCGCCCAGTTCTCTCACCTGTGCAGTGATGGGTTTTACATGTGACTTATTGAACATTTTCTGAATTAGTCATTCATCAATTTGATCAACTAACAAAGTTCCAAACACCTTAAAAAACCAATGGATGGACCAGACCAGCGACTGAGGACAAGCTGAAAGCTCCAAAGGGTATCAAGTCTCCTGCTGGCCTTATCCTTCCAACAAGGACTTCAGCAAATGCTGTGCATCAGAGGCCTGGAGTTAGACAGAAGTGAGTTCAGCTCCTCCCTCCATCCAGTAGCTTTCCAAGGTAAGACAGCTTTTCTCCTCTCCCTGTGCCTGTTTCTAGGATGCCTATGGTAGCACTTGCTTCTAGGGACCTGGGCAAAGCAATCAAGCACAGAGCAAAGTGCTTAACACTGCAAAGGGAATGAAAGACACATACCTATTAGACAATCCACACCCAGGATTCAGTGTTGTGCAGGCAAAACCACTGTCTGACAGCCTACATGAGCACTGATTCAAGTTCCAGGTGCCCCACTTGCAATTCTGCTAATGTGAATGAGTAAGCAGTGCAAGACAGCCCAAGTAGTTGTGTCCCAGCTACCCATGAGGGAGACCCATATGAAGTCCCCGACTCCAGGCGTTGGCCTGGCCCAGTTCCAGGTACTGCTGCCATCTGGAGGAGTAAACCAGTGAATAGAAGATGGTCTCTCTCTCTCACTCTCTCTCTCACTCTGCCTTTCATATCCAGGATACCATATTCTAACCTCTCTTCCAAGCCATTCAGTGCTTCTCATGACGCAGGCTATGTCCCAAGTCCTTTGTGTGAACTAATTCATCTCATCATGATGCTCCTAAGAAGGAGCTGTTGGGTTATTCTCCCCACTTTTCAGATGGGGAACATTAAATTGAAGATAGTTTAGGGACATAGTCCATGCACCCCAGAAGTGGAAGAGCTGGGATGTGAAGGCAGGCTATCTGGATCCAGAGGCCACACTCAGCAGCACCAAACTGCCTCTGGCAGCTATTAAGGTTAGGAGGGGTTCCAAAGGGAAACCCTGGCCAGGTGCTCTGCAAAGAACTACAGCATCCGTCCCACCTGCTCACCACAACCAGTTTACACCTTCCTTTTGTGCTAAGTGGACACATGGTAAGTTGGGGAGCTGCTTGCTGCTGAAGACAGCGTCTGAGGCTTCAAATTTGATTGCGAAGACTACTGGGGCCATGGGGAGCAATGCCGGGAGAGAAGACTGCACCTGCTTCCAAAAGGACTCTTGTGTCAGAGTATATGAACAGGAGAGGCACACTATGCATGGCTGAGCCCAATTAGGACATGCAATTACCCAGGCTGCCAATGCAAATAGACCCGACAGAGGCCCTTTGCCCAGTCACTGGCATGCACAAAATGTTGGCGGAATTGGCCAGCACTTAGAACCCTGGGGGCCAAGCTGGACACAAGCATGTCCTGCTTGAATAGAATCCTAAATAATAAGCTTTTCACAGTTTAGCTATGCATTAATGGGACACACTGCAAAGAGGTGAGGAGGGAGGGAGGGAGCTGGCCTGATAGGGCTGTGTTCAAACCCAGTTACACCCCTTACCCTTGAAATGGACAGCTGGCCACTTAAGCTCACAGAGCCCCAGTACCTCATCTGCAAAGAAAGGGCAGTGGTGGGAAGATCTATTTTGTAAATGTGAAGCAAGGATGTCACCACACTTATATAGTTCATTTTGTTCACTTCCCAAATGCTCTCAACAGTCAGGGCTGGGTCAGCCCAAAGTCAGGAGGCTGGAACACAATTTGGGTCATTCACATGGGTTACAGGAACATGAAGACAGGGGCAGGAAGCCGTACTGGGAACAGAGGAACCAGGACTCAAACCAGGCACTCCTCTGATAGGAGATGTGCATACCCAGGCAGTGCTTTAGCTGCCAGACCAAACACCTGGGCCTATTTGAGAGGTGTTGGTGAAGCATTGAGCGAGTGAGTGCATGGTGCTTGCATGTCATCCCTGGATGCGCTAGGTCCAAGCCATTCCTTCAAGCCAGTTGGTGACATGCTGAGCTCAGACTCTGCTGTAGACACAGCACCTAACCTTTTCTGCCTCAGTTTCTCTCTCTGGAAAAAGGTGCTTCCCTTCTCAGGAGACTTTGACAAGAAATTGAAGAGTTAGCAGATACAAAACATTCCAGCTTAATATTTAGAACGTGACAAATGTTTGCTGGCTTTGGTTTACTGAAATAGAATGAGCATTTGTCTTGGAGACACCTGAGACCTTTTATGGGGGCGCGGGGGAGCGAACCTTCAAGGATACACCCTTTCATCCCAGCACGACTGTGTTGTTTTTCTTTCTCGCTCATTCTCTCACGAGCGTCTGGTGGAGTTTTCCAGAGGCGACAGGCCGTGCAATACGGCAACAGATGTGATCACTCAGCCGTCTGCTGTAAAGTTCCATGCCACAGAGATCTGCCAAAAGCTGCAGCAGTGTCTCTCTGCTCACGAACCCTGTTTTGCAGAGACATACAATGGGTTGCTGTTTTGGCAACCCAATATCTGAGGAATGCCTGAGTTCAAGTGTCGATACATAGGAAGTAACTGATGGCTATCGCTCACCTGACTAAACAAAGCTCTGCAATGGTTGAGAGTGGGAGGGAGGTCTGAGGCCAAGTCTGAGATGGGCTGTGTGCATCTGTACTCATTAATAGCCACTGGGTAGCGAAGTGTAGGATCCTGTGCTGTGT